TTTTATTATCTTTAGGCATTCCCTAGTTACATGCATGTTGCTGCTCTAAAGGGCAGGGGTCACACAGCGGCAACATGAAGTGCGCTTAAAACATTAGCATAAACGTGCATCAACCTTTGCAATTTATGAAGTGAAACGAGCCTAGACTGGGTTCATCTTGAGTGCACTTCCTGTTTCCTCCGAAATTGCTCATACTCTGGTTGACTTATCAGACATTCAGCTGTGGTTTCCTGTAAGACAGCTCAAAAACAAAGCAGACTGCACACACACACAGTTATTATGAAATGGTTAATACGAAATAGTAGACAATATGAGATAACTTATGTACAATTATTCTATCATTTCACCTCAGCAGTCGCTGCATGATGAAGGATGAAGTCAGGTGTACAGAGAGTTAAATCCAACACAAACTGGTTAGTTACGATGTAACAGTAAACTGCAGGTGAATCACAAAAAACAAAGGTGCATGCAAAAATGCATCAGGGTGTTTTGTGGGGAATATTTCAGTCCATTTTGAAAACGCATCAACTATGACTAGGCAATACTTTTTCCCTTCACTTTGGTTTAACTCTATAAAGTCCATATGGATTACTTGAAACGGATATTGAGCTGTGGGGAAACGGCCCCTTCGTGGTCTTAAGTTTCCCTGTGGATTATGTTTAGCACATGTTAAACATGCCCTACAAAAATTTTTTGAATAAGAGTTAAAACCATATGTGGTAAAATATTGATGTATCTGTCCTACCATCCCTCCTGTTGAGACATGTGTTACACCATGGCTCAATATTGCTGCCCATTTGTATAGGTTTTTTGGTAGGATGGGTTTGTTTTCCGGTCACACGTATGTGTCATTTTGTAGCGTCGCACCGTTTTTTATCCATGTGTCTTTTTCTTGTTGCGTGCTTTGTTGTTGCATATCTGTTAACGTATTATTGTCTATGTTAGCGTCTTCCTCTAAAGATAGCACATCTAGCTGTCTTCAGCGGCTGCTTTTGCTGTTTTGTCCGCGAACGCATTTCCCAGGGATACTTCGTTCGTCCCTGAGGTGTGTGCCGCACATTTACATATTGCCAACGTTTTAGGTAACTGCACTGCTTGTAATAGCTCTTTCAGCAAGGTTGCATGTGTTACTGGTTTTCCAGTCGAGGTAACCATTCCTCTATTTTTCCAATATTGTGCAAAGGTATGAACTGTAGCAAACGCATATTGGCTATCAGTATAAATAGTTGCATCTTTATTTGTCATCAGTTTACAAGCTTCAGTCAGTGCTATAAGCTCAGCAGCTTGTGCTGAGAGATGTGAGGGTAGCTGTCTTGCTTTTAACACCTCGGTCTGAGTCACCACTGCATATCCGGCTCGAAGTATCAAGTAAATGTCAGGTTTATCCAACCAGTGACATTCAGAATACTAGACAAAAGAGAACAAGACACAGTGTTAGAGTTGTTTCTTGCAAGGAGAACGGACAGAGATATGCTCAGTTACAATCTCCAACCGCTCTGAAGCATACTCCGCCGAACCCTTTCTTTTTATTATCTTTAGGCATTCCCTAGTTACATGCATGTTGCTGCTCTAAAGGGCAGGGGTCACACAGCGGCAACATGAAGTGCGCTTAAAACATTAGCATAAACGTGCATCAACCTTTGCAATGTATGAAGTGAAACCAGCCTAGACTGGGTTCACCTTGAGTGCACTTCCTGTTTCCTCCGAAATAGCTCATACTCTGGTTGACTTATCAGCCATACTAGGCATACTAGGTTTAAGCTGGTCTTTGTAGCATAACGCGACTTTGAACTGGGGGTCTCTACCGTTGGAATGAGCCCATAAGGATACGGTGAGGCAGACAGTGGTTATCGTATTGTAGCTCAACACCAGACCTTGACTATTTTTGCTAATACTGAACTTTTTCCTAGTTTCTGCAGCGGAATCTAGTGACCAACTGGACCAGTCATGTCCAGTTTCACCAATCAGTGATCCCCATCCTGTTCCTGTGGTAGCATACCAGTTGTAGGCCTCAACCCAACTCTGCCCCTTAGAACCAGCATTATTGGTGAGTGAGCCATAAGGTATTATTATTGCCGTGGTTTGATTTTGTGGCGCGCAGAAAACTAAGCCAGTATGTTTTGTCTGTATGTCTTCTCCGCATTCTGAATCTGTGCTACGTCTGTGCCTTTCGTGAGTTATATTTTGCTGAGTTGTATTAGGAGTCCTATTTCTATTTAATCCCTCTTTTGGTGGTTCCCATAAGTACCACATGAACAGAAAGGTTACAATTAGGAAAAGCGTCACCATCCAACCTAGGATGGCGTTCCTTAACCCTTTGGGAGTCATTGCTGCTGAAATGTTTCCTCCTCTACTGGGTTCGGTGTCTTATAAACTCTTCACTGACTTTCGGGTCTATCCAGCCTCTACACGTCTGGATCCACCCTATTATCAGTCTTTGGCTCACCTCCCCTATCGGAGTTTTCAACCGAAATGACCTTTTTACAATGGGTCAGATGAACCCAAGTTGATCTTTCTGCTATTTTTACCGCAGTGGGAGTTGTTAGCAATACTTGATAGGGACCTTCCCACTTAGGTGAATGCCAGTGTTTCTTCTTTATGCTTTTTATTAGCACCCAGTCTCCTGGTTCAACTAGCTGGATTACCTGTTGGGAGACAGAAGGATTCTCATCAGCAAGTTTTTGTTTCTGTTTTTCTAATATTTTTCTCATGTAGTCTGCTAAGTTAGCTTCCTCATCTATTTCCCACTGATTCTTAAATTGAGGCAGCCTATAGGGTCTGCCAAACAGGGTTTCGTATGGAGTTAACCCCGAAGTAGATGTAATGTTTATGTAGAGCTTAACTAAGTTTCGTTTCCTCAATGCACTTCCTTAATCTATTTTTGATAGTTCTGTTTGTTCGTTCCACTAGACCTGCACTTTGTGGATGGTAAGCACAGTGATTTTTTAAGTTTATATGAAACATTGTTCCAACCTTTTTGACAATTTGATTGACAAAATGAGTCCCGTTATCACTATATATTCTCTCAGGGATCCCATACCTTGGTATGATATCCTTGCACAACGCTTTAGCCACCGTTAGTGCATCAGGGTGTTTTGTGGGGAATATTTCAGTCCATTTTGAAAACGCATCAACTATGACTAGGCAATACTTTTTCCCTTCACTTTGGTTTAACTCTATAAAGTCCATATGGATTACTTGAAACGGATATTGAGCTGTGGGGAAACGGCCCTTTCGTGGTCTTAAGTTTCCCTGTGGATTATGTTTAGCACATGTTAAACATGCCCCACAAAAATTTTTTGAATAAGAGTTAAAACCATATGTGGTAAAATATTGATGTATCTGTCCTACCATCCCTCCTGTTGAGACATGTGTTACACCATGGCTCAATATTGCTGCCCATTTGTATAGGTTTTTTGGTAGGATGGGTTTGTTTTCCGGTCACACGTATGTGTCATTTTGTAGCGTTGCACCGTTTTTTATCCATGTGTCTTTTTCTTGTTGCGTGCTTTGTTGTTGCATATCTGTTAACGTATTATTGTCTATGTTAGCGTCTTCCTCTAAAGATAGCACATCTAGCTGTCTTCAGCGGCTGCTTTTGCTGTTTTGTCCGCGAACGCATTTCCCAGGGATACTTCGTTCGTCCCTGAGGTGTGTGCCGCACATTTACATATTGCCAACGTTTTAGGTAACTGCACTGCTTGTAATAGCTCTTTCAGCAAGGTTGCATGTGTTACTGGTTTTCCAGTCGAGGTAACCATTCCTCTATTTTTCCAATATTGTGCAAAGGTATGAACTGTAGCAAACGCATATTGGCTATCAGTATAAATAGTTGCATCTTTATTTGTCATCAGTTTACAAGCTTCAGTCAGTGCTATAAGCTCAGCAGCTTGTGCTGAGAGATGTGAGGGTAGCTGTCTTGCTTTTAACACCTCGGTCTGAGTCACCACTGCATATCCGGCTCGAAGTACCAAGTAAATGTCAGGTTTATCCAACCAGTGACATTCAGAATACTAGACAAAAGAGAACAAGACACAGTGTTAGAGTTGTTTCTTGCAAGGAGAACGGACAGAGATATGCTCAGTTACAATCTCCAACCGCTCTGAAGCATACTCCGCCGAACCCTTTCTTTTTATTATCTTTAGGCATTCCCTAGTTACATGCATGTTGCTGCTCTAAAGGGCAGGGGTCACACAGCGGCAACATGAAGTGCGCTTAAAACATTAGCATAAACGTGCATCAACCTTTGCAATGTATGAAGTGAAACGAGCCTAGACTGGGTTCATCTTGAGTGCACTTCCTGTTTCCTCCGAAATTGCTCATACTCTGGTTGACTTATCAGACATTCAGCTGTGGTTTCCTGTAAGACAGCTCAAAAACAAAGCAGACTGCACACACACACAGTTATTATGAAATGGTTAATACGAAATAGTAGACAATATGAGATAACTTATGTACAATTATTCTATCATTTCACCTCAGCAGTCGCTGCATGATGAAGGATGAAGTCAGGTGTACAGAGAGTTAAATCCAACACAAACTGGTTAGTTACGATGTAACAGTAAACTGCAGGTGAATCACAAAAAACAAAGGTGCATGCAAAAATGCATCAGGGTGTTTTGTGGGGAATATTTCAGTCCATTTTGAAAACGCATCAACTATGACTAGGCAATACTTTTTCCCTTCACTTTGGTTTAACTCTATAAAGTCCATATGGATTACTTGAAACGGATATTGAGCTGTGGGGAAACGGCCCCTTCGTGGTCTTAAGTTTCCCTGTGGATTATGTTTAGCACATGTTAAACATGCCCTACAAAAATTTTTTGAATAAGAGTTAAAACCATATGTGGTAAAATATTGATGTATCTGTCCTACCATCCCTCCTGTTGAGACATGTGTTACACCATGGCTCAATATTGCTGCCCATTTGTATAGGTTTTTTGGTAGGATGGGTTTGTTTTCCGGTCACACGTATGTGTCATTTTGTAGCGTCGCACCGTTTTTTATCCATGTGTCTTTTTCTTGTTGCGTGCTTTGTTGTTGCATATCTGTTAACGTATTATTGTCTATGTTAGCGTCTTCCTCTAAAGATAGCACATCTAGCTGTCTTCAGCGGCTGCTTTTGCTGTTTTGTCCGCGAACGCATTTCCCAGGGATACTTCGTTCGTCCCTGAGGTGTGTGCCGCACATTTACATATTGCCAACGTTTTAGGTAACTGCACTGCTTGTAATAGCTCTTTCAGCAAGGTTGCATGTGTTACTGGTTTTCCAGTCGAGGTAACCATTCCTCTATTTTTCCAATATTGTGCAAAGGTATGAACTGTAGCAAACGCATATTGGCTATCAGTATAAATAGTTGCATCTTTATTTGTCATCAGTTTACAAGCTTCAGTCAGTGCTATAAGCTCAGCAGCTTGTGCTGAGAGATGTGAGGGTAGCTGTCTTGCTTTTAACACCTCGGTCTGAGTCACCACTGCATATCCGGCTCGAAGTACCAAGTAAATGTCAGGTTTATCCAACCAGTGACATTCAGAATACTAGACAAAAGAGAACAAGACACAGTGTTAGAGTTGTTTCTTGCAAGGAGAACGGACAGAGATATGCTCAGTTACAATCTCCAACCGCTCTGAAGCATACTCCGCCGAACCCTTTCTTTTTATTATCTTTAGGCATTCCCTAGTTACATGCATGTTGCTGCTCTAAAGGGCAGGGGTCACACAGCGGCAACATGAAGTGCGCTTAAAACATTAGCATAAACGTGCATCAACTTTTGCAATGTATGAAGTGAAACCAGCCTAGACTGGGTTCATCTTGAGTGCACTTCCTGTTTCCTCCGAAATTGCTCATACTCTGGTTGACTTATCAGACATTCAGCTGTGGTTTCCTGTAAGACAGCTCAAAAACAAAGCAGACTGCACACACACACAGTTATTATGAAATGGTTAATACAAAATAGTAGACAATATGAGATAACTTATGTACAATTATTCTATCATTTCACCTCAGCAGTCCCTGCATGATGAAGGATGAAGTCAGGTGTACAGAGAGTTAAATCCAACACAAACTGGTTAGTTACGATGTTGACACCATGGTTTTGTATAAATCCAGCGCTGCAGCATTCTTGTCTCTGTGGTGTTTGTGTCCTACAACCAAAACAGCCAAAGATCCAAAGATCCACAGGCTGATTAAGTGTCAGCAGCTTCTGTCTGTGGGTCAGACCTCTGACAGTTTAATTACCACAAGTGTGGTACTAGTCACAGGGACATGATGAGTTGCTTCATGGTGAACTGTCTGCACTTACAACATCCTTATCAGTTTTTTTTATTTTTGCCCTATCATTTGGATATTCAACATATAAAAGGGTCTGAAAATGTAACAGCTGACTGAGATGTGTTTAACTGTTGCCCATATTTATGCCTTCCTCTCTTTCTTCCTGTCTGTCTGTCCTGCTCTCTTTAAAATGCTCGTGTAGGCACCAAATAGGTGGAGGGGGGAGAACATGTAGCAATGGGTAGCAGGTATTTGGATTTTTCTGTAATAGGCCAAAAACAATAGACGGTTGTTACTGTTCAGAACAGTAAAATGTGATACTTGCCCATGTTATGGTTCTGTTTGTTAGTGATAAAATAACCGAATATTTTTGAATATATATACCTTCTTTAGTCTTGTATTTTGAGTTCATGACACTGTGTATTCACAACAGCTGTTTCTCAACTGTCTAAAGGTCACAAAAATAAACTTGTGATTTTGTGCTGAGGGTGCAGCAGGTCCGTGTACTTTAAGGCTACCCTCTTGGCTTTTATTTTGAAATATTTACCTTTACTGTGCCACCTGACCAGTGACGTGCGGTGAGGTTCATGGCTGGTGAGGCACTGACTTCATCACTAGCGCCCTCTACTATGAGGCAGGAGAACTGCGTGCCTCACCCAGTGCGTCTTCGCAGCCGTTTTATGATACAGTTGTTGATAAAATACACTGTACATAATATACCTCAGCTAACTAAACTATGGAAATTTATAATATAATTCATATAGCAAAAGTGTTTGAACATTTTAATAGCGACATACAGAGAGATAGCAATACGGTCTCACTGCACAGCAGGCCAGCAGTTAGCCGAGTCATTGCGCAATCCATGGTGAGGCTCAGCTGGCTGCTGCCTCACCGCAAGTCTCTTCTCAGTATTTGAACGGTAAATGTCAAAATTCAGCGATTTTGAATAAAAATAATCTAAAACTGGTGAAGTTAAATGGAAAATAACTTTATAGTATAATCACTGTATACATATAACAATTTAATTAATTTTTTTTCTTTTTACTTTTTTTTTCTTTCCATGATGGCAGGTGAGGCAGTGCCTCACCTGCCTCCCCTGACTGCATGTCACTGCACCTGACTACCTTTCTTAATTCTTCAAAAATGTGTGTTTCGTTCAATTTGATATTCTTGTTTTTATTTTTTAATTCTGACAATTGGTTTAGAATAAAAATAAATAAATAAATAAATAAAATAAAATAAAAGATGGGAATCCCGTGCCTGATAGTTCACTAATCTCACCACCAGCACGGATCGGAATCAGGGTGTACCAACTAGAGCTCCATGCACAGTTCTGGCTCTGGAACCAAACTCGTGGAGAGGCTGGAGTCTGTCCATTTCTGGATTTGCCCCTGGTATTAGGTGCGGGGCAGGGGTAAAGAGATTCATACATTGTGAGATTACATACAAGACTAGAATCATGCGCCTGGTGCAGCACCGATTTTTTTCCCCTGTGAAACTAGAAAAGGTGGATCTGGGCATGTCCTACATGCACTTGTACCGTGGGCTTCAGACCGTGTCTCTCAGACAGTTGAAACAGAGCCCTATATACTGTACTGTATGTCATGTGGCCTGGAAATGACTCGGCTTCCAGGAGGAGCTGGAGAATGTCACTGGGGTGAGGGACATCTCGACGACCTTAACCTGATGCCACCATGACCCGACTCTAGATAAGCAGCAGAATGTGGATGGATGGATGGAGGTGAACTTTGACACCAGGTGATGTTTGCTTTTCAGTCGTGGGGTCTGAGGCCTCCTCATTCTCTTCATTGAGACCCAAACACTGATGTCTGGAAAAGATTTGCAACGTCAACCAACAGTGCACTGCACTGGCCGGTCAAAAACATGCATATGCACATTACATCATCATTAAATGGTCCATTACAAGTTCCACATTCAAAATGATACCTAGGTAAAAGTACATAAGTATTGAGAACAAAGTATTCAAAGTTCTCATTATTGCAGAATTATTGCCTCTCTCAGTTATATTTCTGCATAAATCGATAGATGATAATTATTGATGCATTAGCAATTTGGCAGAACTTTAAACTTGCACTAGCAAACTAGCAGGAACTGTACAGTCCCAGTCCACAGGTTGGTGACCACTGATGAAATGATTGTCGCTCTGATAACCTTCCACAGTGGTTTCTGATAAGACTTCAACCCATTATTCAAATTGCAAATTCAAATTGCAGGAGAGTAGCACCATGGAGTCCATGTTTTTACCTTCTTTCATTCACAATGAAGGCAGTGATGGAGTTGAGCAGAGGATCTGCAGTGGAGATGATTTGCTGGATGTGTGTTACTGGAAGGGCAGATTAGAGTCTTTGTTCTACATTTTCATTCTTGACAATCACCACTGGAATCACCACCACTGATAATGATGGCAGCTTTTGACTTAGAGGAAATAGCGAATGGCGGAATTAGAAGGGAACAGGTATTGAGATTTTTAGAGAACAGGCAGACCAGTCTGGACTGTGCCAGTCATCCTTGAGCCGCACCATGTACGGGATGGGATCATCCGTATATAATCCAGTTTTATTATGTTCCCATATGATGTTGTTAACCAGGATAATATTGCAGTGCAATTTGCATTATAGCCGCCGGAGCTGCTTTCCCTGATGTAATTGGATCGATCGACTGCACACACACTGATATAAAGGTGTTATTATTAACTTTTATTAACTTATGTCAATAGAAAATATCTTCATTTTATAAACGTGCAAATATGTGATGCAAAACTATTGTGATTAATATTGTGGCAAGATGACCTGGATCAACCCACAGCTCATTTCTCCTAACAAACAGCATGGTCATGAACAGGCTACAGGCTGACAGGGTGAGTGATGGTGGCTTCTTGATGAGTAATTACTTCATAAGTTAAATCAACTTTTGGGATCCATATGTCCCAAAATATATCACTGTCTTTAGAGCATCATTACTCCTCAGTGGAATCAGAGCTTTCCGACAAGCTCGTTTGTCGGTGTGAGTCATTTATTTCTGTCAATAAACGAATGCGTAATGTCGGAAAAGATTTGGATAGTCTCACCTTTTGCCTGGCGTATTGCTTCATTCCATCTGAGTGTCTATTGATAACAGCGCATGGATGTAAATAGTGTGTGAAATAAACAAAATACTACTGTAAACATTTTTACTAATTTCAACCAAGAGAATGTGCATAAAGTTCAAGAAAAATGATTCTGATGCAGGACATGTCAGGACCCCCCCGGTTTAGCAGCTCGTGTCATGTTTTGTTATCAGGACCCAAATGCAGACAAAACATAAATGCTGGAAGTTGGAGTGAAATAACTTTACTCTACCGAAAACACAAGGAGCACAGGAGTAAGGGACGCAAGGAAACAGAAGTTCCACAGGGTAAAACAGGATAAAGCAGGATGAACAGACTCAGACAGAGGGGAGCACAGAGACTAAAAAGACACAAGGGAGGCGAGGGTGATTGAACATAGGTGAAACACATTAGGGTGGGGCAGACAATCAAATTGGAGGGAAACAAGACAAAGACAGGAAGTAAAAACATCATGACACAAGGAAAGTAACTACAAAATAAAAAAGGAAATTACCATGACCAAAACCAATAATAAAGTCCAAACATAAATTGTCTGTCACGGCACTTCTGTTTTCTGTCATTATTAATGATAGAGGACAAAGTGCAGAATAAAACCTTTTTTCTGGACTCTACCTCTGAAAGCAAAATGACTCCTCCTCCTCATACTCACTGAAGTGTATCTTTTTGGCAACTTGGTTTTGCAATTTTTCCTGATTTTGAAGAGAGGGGTTGTCCAGGCATTTATACTCATTAGCATATTAAATTTAGGGCTGAGAGAGGGAGGAGTGTTGTGTCCACATTTCAGTATGAATTCTATGCATCGTATGTACATGAGGCCCAAGGTCATGTGTTCAGGATTCTTTACACTGGGATGAGGACTTAAACCAGGTCCTTCAACCAGAATGTGATGTCTTTATGTGCGGACACATATGCCCCAGAATCTGTTCTCATATGTTCTCTGACAAGCTATAGTCAGACGGGAGTGGAGGGTCTGATTTGCATACAGACTGAGAGGAATCTGTTTTGACGTGTTTCAAGGTGATGAACTTAAATGTCAACTATAATTATACAATGTACAGATTTCTCTGCTTTATGTAAAGATGAAGCCTTTCATTATGAACATGTAAAGGTGTGACATATGTTGAAGGTGTACACTCAGACAGAGGCCTGGAGGGCACTGTGAGTTGTCACTGTGTGTCTGCAGAGTGATGATAGTTTTGTGAGTGGCATCTCACACTGCTGTCCTCGCTGTCTGTAGTGTGACAGAACATGTTTGTCTTTTTTTAAAGGTCTTTGTCCTTTAACTCCCTTTAACCTGATAATATGAAATGGCAGGTTGTATGAATAAGAATGCAGCTTTGCAGAGAGCGAGTCTGCTCTGATGTTTTTGATTTAAACAAAAAAATCCAGATATGAGAGAGGTGAAAAGTCCAGAACAAGGAAAAACCTTTGCAATCAAAAAGAACTTTGCACAGCAGCCCTGCAATAAATCCCACACTAAAGTCCAGGTTTGTCAGGACTGTGTCAGACCTCTAATGAAAATAAAGACACGTTTTATTTTTTAAACTACATCTTGATATAGCCAATTGGTGTCTGATGACGTTGGTGTCTGATTGACGTTGGTGCCATCTCATCATCGTCTCGTCTTAGTAATGGAAAATAAAGGTAATTGATGAATATTTTGTCATAATTTTCATCAATTAAATGAACACTACTTTAACCTTTATCCTTTCTCATTCTCTCGCATTCAACCTTCAATTTAGCCTTTACTGCTGCACATTTAACTCCTGTCCTTAACTAGTCCAAACTGTATTCTGTCACAGTCTGCTCTGCCCCTCTCCTGCTCTGCTGCTCAGCCACACCCCTCATCAGCCTAACTGCTTTCACCTGCTGCTCTCACCTGCTCACCATCTCCAATCAAGCCAATAGATATGCAGCTTCACTCCACTCACTCTTTGCCAGATGGTCTTCGCCCTCATGCCTGACTCTCCAGCACTTGTTCCCAGACTGCTAACCTGGTATCGACCCGACTTGCCTCCAACCTTCGCCTCACGTCTCAGCCCCGGTGAATCCACCAGCCTTCTGTCCCCGACTACGAGTATTGCCTGCCTGTTTTCTGTTCCTCGTCTGCCTGTGGCTGGTTGGCACTCAGCCTGTTCCTGCTCCACCAAGAGACCCACCTTGTCAGCTTCGCCTCGCCAGCTCACCTCCTGGTGACGTCAGCCCCACCGACTCCGTCTCAAGGTCTGGATCCACATCCCGCCATACTCACCTGAATCCAGTTCTCTGCTGCCATCCTTGGGTTAGCTCTGTACCTGTTTTGATCTGCCAAATAAAGACTGTTTCCAGACTAAAACCTGGTTCACTTGTGCTGCTATTGGGTTCTCTCCATACCCGTTACAGTATTCCTCCATGTAAAGGTGTAAAACTAAAACGATACTCATACAAACACATAAAATCTTATTCTTTTAAACTGTCTCATTTTTGTAGTTTGTAATAACTCATAATGGGTAATTTGTGGTTCATTTAACACCAAATGTGTAGAGAGCTCCATTTGACTCATCTTTGTGCCCTGGTCAACAGTAAATCAGATGAACAACTTGATGTTAAACAGTCTATAGATTATCTAATCCAGTACAGGAGGCAGGGGCAACAAAGCCAAAACAGTCCTGGCTTTAATAAACAGCCATCTGTAAGTATACCAGGAAATACAGACAGTCAGGGTCCTCAGAGAATGAATCCTATAGACTTGATTGCTGTAAATGTGGTTCTTACATTCATGGTCTCCTCAGGGTGGACCATAATAACTTTGGTCTGAAGCATCAGACTTAATTTTTTTTTTTTTTTCAATACTCAGGCTTATGGCCAAAACTAGTCTCAGCTGCACTTTGTGTCTAACTAGAAAATGTTAGCATACTAACACGCTAAACTAAAATGCTACATGAACATGGTAAACATTGTACCAAAATTAGGTATTATGTTAGGTATAAAGTGTTCATGTATATGATGCTAACCGGCATGTCAACATGCTACGTCAAAGAGACGAGCAGCGGCACGCTTGTTGGCAATGTGTGTTGGGTGGTGTGGGCTGTGAGCTATGATGCCGTTCAGCAGCAACCAATCAGAATGTAGAATCCTAGAGAACACAGCCATGTGAACCAAGAATGATGCTGTCAAACAAGGTATTACTGGTGCTGTACAACAGCTCACCCTATTCTGCCATGTTCTGGCCACGGCCTCTCTAAAGAAAAATCACATCCTTGGTTTGCTAATGTCTCACTAGCATTTTAAAAACAGTTGTTAAGACTACAACTTACAGAAAAAACCCTTATCCACCATTAGTTTGTTTTGAATGAAGCCGAGAACACACTAGCTGTAATGTGTGTGTCTGGCAAGTGCGTCTTGGCTTTCATTTCGGCGCCCATGTGAACGGGTTAGATTTACGTGTGACGCATGAAATTCCCAGCAAAAACAGAGAAAACACCTGTTGATTTCATATTGACATCACACCTGCAACATCACACTGAAAACTGAAAGCTTCAACTATAGTTGACTGTAATAACATGATTGAGTCTGTGGGGTTGGGAAATTGTTTTCCAACCCCATTTTCAGTGTCTTGGACTAGGATCGGTTCATCATTCAGTGCTTGACCTGAACTTACGGTATGTGTTCCTGATGATTCACAGCTCCCGGAGCCAGAAGTGCTGACGCTTTGACAGACACACCAAACTTCATGAAAGATTAAAAGTTTCCTTGCTGGGCCTGATTCTGGCAGTTTGAGATGCTGACCATCACCTACGACTCACATTCACTGTGTGGTACGTTCAGTGAAAGACTGACTGAATAACTCACTCAGCGACTGACTGTGTATCTGTGCAAACAAATCCCATTCGCAGGGAATCAGTGACTTAAAACTCACTCAGTACGTTTGAATGAGTTTGAGTTCAACTAAATGTATACTTTTAGGAAGTTATTCAGTTCACTTTGTTCTTTTGAACAAATGGTTTGTGAGCGACACAATGTATCGCGGCCTGGAGGATCGAACCACTGAGCTTCTGATTAATGGGTGACCCGCGCTACCTCACAAGTCACAGCCGACCCCTACAATTTAGCACAGTTGTGTAAAATTGCCAGAGACTAGGGATGCCCCGAGGGGCCGGTCATTATCGGCTTATTTTCATTGAAAATACGTGATAGTTGATCGGCATCAATGCTCCTAATCACCTGTGGTTCTGTGACAGGTTTGGGGATGTTGATTACCTCTGTTGCAGCACCAGTGGTTCATTCACCCCCACGTTTTGATCAGGCGGCAGAAGTTGAGGGAAAGTTGTGTATGTCAGATAATGGGATATTGAGAGGACGTCTCAAAAACTGAGTCTTTTGCCAATCTTGTTTTGATGTTGAAACATTTACCTGCTCTAAATCAGAGTTGGTGAACCTGATTAAAAGTTACCCTTGCCTGTCCAGTGACATTCCATCTCGTACTCATCTTATTGAGCGACATTGAGGTGGGAGAGGTCCATCCAGTCAGACAACATTTTCCAGACAAGTGTGAAAAGTTAGAAGCGGAGATCAGGTACATGTTAGAGAACAACATTGCTGAGCCTTGTGCATCCAATTGGTCTTCCCTGTGCTTGCTAGTAAAAAAAAGCAGATGGTACGTTTAGACCTTGTACTGATCTCAGGAAGGTGAACCAAGTAAAGTTCCAAGTAGCATTCCTGACTATTTTCCACTCCCACATATGGAGGATTGCATGGACCAGGTTGGCTCGGTGAAGTTTGACTTAAAGAATTACTGGCAGGTTACTTTGACGCCTCGAGCTAGGGAGATTGAAGCATTTATTACACCCAGTGGTTTGTATTCCTCAACAGTTATGTCATTTGGTTTATGTAATCCCCAGCTACCTCCCAGTGCCTAATGAACAAGGTGGTGTCTGGATTAGTGGACTGTGCTATGTACTTGGATGATGTTGTGATTTACAGCGACTCCTGGGAAGATCACCTTCAGCGCATCCAGGCCCTGTTTGACGGGTTAGCCTGGGTATCGCTCACTATTAACCTGGCAAAAGTTGAGTTTGCCAAGGCAACAGTCACCTACCTGGGTAAGGTAGTTGGGCAGGTGTGCCCAGTAAGGGCTAAGGTGTTAGCAATTGATCAGTTTCCCGTGCAAACGACCAAGAAAGAACTTTCTCTTTTCTTGGGGATGGTGGGTCACTACCGTGGGTTCTGCAAAAATTTCTCCACAGTGGTTGCTCCGCTCACTTCCCTTCTTAGCCCAAAGGTCAAATTTGAATGGTCTCTTCACTGTCAAGAAGCTTTCAACTCTGTGAAAGCATTGTTGTGTTCTACCACTGTCTTAGCAGCTCCTTAGATGAACCAGCCCTTCTTGCTCTATGTGGATGCTAGTAAGGTGGGAGCTGGGGCTGTATTCATGCAGGCCAGTGAAAAGGGTGTCGATTGTCTGGTGAGTTTCTTTTCTAAAAAGTTCAACTCTGAGTATTTGGATTAAGGAGCTTAAGCTGTTTAGCTTGGTTATCCTAGATCCTAGTTATGACCCCCATTTTAAGGGAGGGGGTGTGACGACCCTTTCCATTCTCCTGGCATGTTACCTCACTCTTCTCCTGCAGTTCTGGCAGTTGGCTGGAAGGTGGAGCTGGGAGGGTGGTTAGTTAATACCTTTGGTAGGGTCTCCCAAAAGGCATAAAGGTCCGCCCCTCAGGTAGTCCCTCTCCCTCTCAGCTGGGCCTGCTGCAGCCACTACAGTCTGTTTCTCTCTTTGTTTGGTTTGTTGCATCTTACAACAAACATTACTCCATATTTTCACTCATCCACACACCTCTGACATGATTGATGACTTTCTTACTCACACACCCCATTTGGTTGGTTACTTTGTTTATTCATTTGAGTTAAATAAATCGTTTCTTGATTGAAGTGTCTGTGTGAGGCCTCCCTTTTTGTTGACGGCTTAGAGCCAGTCGGTAACAACTCTTACACATTGTAGTGTCACAATCAGAGACTGTTTCTTGAGAAAGCTGAGGGGTTTTAACAGATCGCTCTTAGAAATTCATCTTTTATTGAGTCAATTTGAACTTTTGCAGTGATCTGCTGGTTTGGGAACCTCAGCATGGTAAACAGAAACTAGGCTTGAAATATTCAACTTTGCCAAAAGATCATCGGCACTACCTTGAATGATCTCGGTCATGTTTACCAAGTCAGAAACACTCAGAGGGCTAAGGTCATTTTAACAGACCCTCATCACCCTCTTTATACTGCCACCAGGGAGGAGGTGAACTTTCCCTCGGAGCCAAATCAAACAGATATTTGAGGTCATTTATCCTGTCAGCTGTTGGGTTTTTAAACAAGTTGTCTCTCTAGTCGTCATCAACAAAATACTGATGGACTCTTGGTGCCTAATATCTCAGTGTAACTTATCACGACGTAATCTACTGTATGTTGGATGGTTTTATGTCTCTATTTATTGTATTATTTTATTCATGATGTGTACTGGTTGTGTTGACTACTGTTGCAAACAACATTGCCCGTCAGGGACAATTAAGACTTTATAATCTTAATCCAAAAATCAAGTCACACATCAACAGTCTCCGGTTGGTTATACTACAACACTTAGTTTGGAAAGATGTGCTTTTACAAAATTTTGTGGAATTTTTGTTGAATAATAATATATAGTTAGAATAACCTTTCATGTTATCATGTGATACTGACCCCTTAATAATAATAATAACAACAACAACAACTTGGGTTTTTACAGCAGCCACTTTACAGGGAAGGAAACACAAAATAAATAAAAGAACAAATTGTAAGAGATGAGGCAGCTAGAGGCCATAGGCCTTGGTGAACAGGGGGGTTTTCAGCAGTTTTTAAAAAATGTCCAGAGATGAGGCTGTGCGGAACTCTTCTGGGAGAGAGTTCCAGAGGGGGGGGGCTGCCACACTGAATGCTCTGCCACCGAAAGATCAAAGGCTAGTGAAGGGGGTGGAGAGCAGACCAGTGTCTGTGGACTGTAGGTTCCAAGACGGGTGTAGGGGTGGAGGAGGTCAGACAGATACTGGGGTGCGAGATCATGGAGGGATTTAAAGGTGAGGATTTTGTACTGGATGCGGGTTTTCACCGGAAGCCAGTGAAGTTGGATGAAAGTAGGGGTGATGTGCTGCCAGGGCTTGGTGCGGGTGAGAACCCTGGCAACTGAGTTCTGGAAATACTGGAGCCTGTCCAGGGTTTTGCCAGGAACCCTGAACAGGACTCCATTGCAGTAATCCAGACGGGTGATGACAAAGGCGAGAATGAGGGTCTCTGCGACAGAGTCAGAGAGGGATGGCCGGAGT